CATTGTGATTTGTTGCTTTAAAACAATCTAAAATGTCAATATTCCATGGAATTTATGATGATAAATAGGATCTAAATTATATGAAATGGGGATAGGTAAAATGGGTATAATACAATTTGATAGACAATTAAATTGTGCATCTGATTCTCCACAAAATATACAGAATTCCATTTTAAATTAAAGAGTTATTGGCGTTTTAAAGCTAGAAATTATTTAAAATAAATTTTTAGACACTCTGTATAAGGTAGTATTATTTTTATTATTGCAGCACAATAACTGATCAATAAATAAACTTCAGTAAATATTTGAGTATTAAAAACTTTGATACTCTTGGAGAAAAGCATTAAAATTTTTACTGCAATTTCCCAAAGTTGAAAATATTTCCAAAACGGTAGAGTTTAAGTATAATAAACCTTAATCAAATTTACCTTTATTTTAATCGTAGAGAGCTAAAAGGAAATGTAATAATATACAGGGTGTTCCATTTAAAAATTACAACTTTGATATTTTTACTTATTTAGGACACTCTGTATCTTATCAAATATTTTTAAATTATTGGCCTCTAATAGTCCTTCATCGAACCCAAAACTTGAAATTTGTAAAATATAATCCGTTTAGCTACAATACTCCGTGTCAACAAAATTAAAAAATTCAAGTATTTATTGTTGAAATGGAAGATTATCATAAAATGAGTGATAGTTCTACTGCTTTTAAAGGCCGGCTACACGCACAGGCTTTACCGAAGACTTACTTGCGCAAACTGGTTTGTATCGGGAAGCCCGTGTGTGTGGACGGTAAAACGGTAGCACGCACAAACCAACAAGTGCGGCCTGCGTAAAGGTCGCGCTGCTAAAGATTTTAGTTTGCGCAAACCAGTTTGTGCGGTGATATCATACGTTTGGCGGTATCAGTGAGTTCAAGCTACAGTTTTGTGACTCTTGTGGATTTTGTGTTATTATTTATCAGCTCTCAGAAAATGTCTGATATGCGTACTTATTTTAATAAGGAGTTTATGAGAAGTTTCGTTGAGATATATCGATCATTGCCGTGCCTATGGAAGATAAAATCGAAAATATATTCTTGAAATAGAAAATGATGCGTACAAGAAAATGGTTTCTATTTAAAAAGCAAGTTTTTACCCCACTTCGATCTATATCGTTTATTTTCTGTTTTCTTTAACAATAAGCCTTCACAAAACAATAATTCGTCACTTGACATTTCCACAAACGGAACCACAAATTCAGAATAAAAATAATGATGAAAGTACGCTCTTGCATCGTGTGGACACCGCACAGTGTTCCTTCTAGTTTGCGCAAACTATACCGTGCAAGCAAGTCGCTACCGTGTAGCCGCCGCTTTAAGTTGTTGTAGGTGATCCCATTTTTGCTTTTTTATAGGAATTGCCTTAGTATATAGGGGCGGCAATTCGGAAAAAGCCACCGGCATTATTTGTTTCTGATTCTGCCAAAATTCCAACTTTTTATATTCGTCAGGGTGTCGTAATTTATAATTGATTTCTCCACTTGGGGAATATTGAATAGCCCGTAAATCTGTAACCACAGGATCTCCTTGTTTTCTCCCTGGTCTCAAAGAAGTAACAAATTTGATGCCATCATATTTTTTAAAATATTTGTAATCCAAGTATTTTACTGTGTACGGTCTTGGTTTCTCTCGTGCATGTAGGCATATTCCCACATAATCGGCAGGTACATTAATTACTCTGTTATGAAGCTTTCTCTCAATGGTAGCATGTATTGAATCTGCTTCCATTTGAGTATGCCCTTTTCAAGATATTTTTGTTCTATTATGGTGTTGTGGATCATACTCAAATTAAGCAAAGAATTTGCTAAAACAGCATTACGATTTTGTGATATGCAACCATCACTAAAGAGTATAATCTTTTGTCCTGCGGTTATGGATGGAATGACCGAATTTTCTAAAAATTGGCAAATTATCGATGAGTAATCATTTGCACTAAGACCTCCATCTGACTCCGTGCCAGATAAAACATTATCCGTCTTTGGTTTTCATATGAAAAATTGTGAAGTTGTGCACAATCAATTTTGTTTTAAAATAGGAAGACGACACATTCGATTTAGAACTTAATAAAACCGATTGTAAGTCCATACAAAATACCTTTTAGTCAGATAGTTTATCTGATTCTTTTGCTTCTCTTGGCTTCCCTCTTTTTTTGTATGCAATCTTCATAGTTTTCGTTGCTTAAATTTCCAGCATCATGTGCGACACATGTATCGCACAAGTCCTCTTTTGGTTTGACTGCTTAAGTTCATGGAGTTAAATGTGTGGTGGAATGTGGTACTTTTCGTTACACCAGTGTGTTTTATAAAATTTATACAAAGCAGATTTGGTATGCCATTGGGGTTCATTGAGCTACAATAATGGGATTCCATTTTTGGAATGTTGTCAAAGAACTCTTTAAGAGTCTTGTTTTTTTCAAAGTTTAGGGCTATGTCAAGTCTGAAGGCTATTTCAAAGTCTTTTGCTATTTATTGTTGGTGTTGGGTTTTCTCTCGCCTTCTTTATCTTCGTTTCCAGATTGACTTTGCTTCCAGGTTTTGACAGATCTTTCCCCAATGCATAAAGTGAAAAAAAACATATTTTTACACACTCTTATCTCTGTTTCGTCTTTTTCAGAAAGTATTGCCATGTATAACTCCTTCTTGACTGGTTTTCCAATTTTCTTCAAGATATCGCACACTCAATAATAAAGTGACACAAAACCAAAACGTAATTTTCCAGAATCGCAAAAAGAAAGTTGATTTTATTCGCTTCTCGCACTTAAGACACTTTTTGCACAATTTGAATGATTTTTTGAGAGTCTTATTGGTTAAGATCAATAATAGTTGAGCTATAATTATTAAAGCTTCGGTGGATAGTCTATAACTATGACAAAATGAAGGGTGGTCAGATATTGTGTCATTTTATTTTAAAAATGAAAGAAATTAACTGATCTAAAACTAAATAATGCCTTTTTAATTTTAAATGTTTACTCTTTTTGCTGGTACATTCTGAAAAATGTCAATATAATATTTAATTTGTTGGTTGGTTTAGAAAAACATAAAACTACAAATTAAATTTACTCCAGAAACATAACATTTATTAGGTGTACTATATTGTTATTAACAAAAATAAATGACAAAATATTTTAACTAACTCGATTTAAACTTGAAATAATATTTTCTTAAAATAATACATTTTTGGTATCTAAACCTGATATACGACGAATATCATACATCTACATTATCAATAAATATTAGTAAAAATCGGCATAAAAACTAGGAATCAGTTGTTTGGAAACAAGTTCTTTTAAATCTTTCTTTTTATTTTCGCTTAACTCTTGTTTGGCGGTATAGGCTTTACTTAAAGAAATATGTTGTATAGGAGTACTTTCTCTTTTTATTTCTTACAATAACATCAATAAAGTGCTCTTGTTTGTAAGATGTTTTAAATGAAAATGTTAAAGGATTCTCTTTTTTAAATCTCATCACCTTAATATAATTCCAAGTAATAGGTGTACCAGTCTTATCCCGGGTAAAGTTATTTTCCCATTCTCCTTGAAGTTTCTTCAGGTCAAAGAATGATTCATAGGTAAGTTCATGCACCAAAAATGGAGGTGGATTCTTTTTTGCATTTTTAATTAGGGTGACATATTGATGAGGAGAATAAATTGGCCCTGATTCCAAATTTCGTTTAATTTCTTTTTCAATTAAACTATGTATATTGTCTCCTTCATTTTGTGTGCGACCTTTTATAAAAAATTTATGTGTAATGCTATTAATATTAAGATTTGCAACGGCATATAAATATAGGGATGCGATGAACTTATTTTTGTTTTGGCCACAACAATTGTCAGAGTAAAATGCCACGTCGCAACCTCCATCATTTTCTTCGGATTTTTGCTGTAAGTATTTAAATATAGATGAATCAATCTCACTGGCTCCTCATTTGGCATTAGTTTCGTTCCAAAAGTAACAATGTACTTGGTCATAACCTCTGTTTTTTATGTCCGGCTCCTTTTGGGATAGTTCAGTTAAAGTAAAATTGTAGTTGTTAAGTTTGGATTTATAATAAAACGCAGAAGTATCTCCCTGAGGACACTGGAGGACGCTTGCAGGTCATAAACTACTACTTTTCTATTCTCGTTGATATTTAAACGATCTAAACGTTTTTCTGTTCTACTTAGCTCTTTCTCTTCGTGATGATTTTTGTATAATTCAGCAATTCCATTTTTTCGTTTAATTCTGCATTGTCATACTGTAAACAAAGATCGCACTGATCCTTCTTTGGCTGATGAAATCCTAAATTAAATTCTTCGTTAAATAAGTTATAAAATGTACAATATTTTCCAAATGGTTTTTCCTTTCCTGTTTGCTTTTCTTGGAAGTCACGATACAAGTCTGTTATAGTTTTTCCCCCGTCTATAAATTCTTTAGACGTGTTTGCCCTTACATAATGAGATTCTATTCTCGGGATAGAATTTAAATGATCTCTCATATCTTGTATAATCATCTGCTGATGATGCTAACATGGTTAGCGAAACGCGCGTCCAGTGTAAAAGTAAAAGTGTTTTGGTGTATTGTGGTGATTTAGTGTAATTTTATTTTGCTGTGTAACACCAAAGGTTCCAACCCTCAACTGTAATCTTGTAGAACTTGAGGGTCGACACGTTTGTGACTATCATGCCTTCCACGTAAATCATTTTCTAAAAATCCATTTTGATCAATTTTCAAGTGTATTTTTAAAGAAAATTTTACATACTCTTATTTGTATGTTATCAACCGTAAAATAAAAAGCCTTATTGCTTTTTCTTGGCCTTTCTGCGTTAGTGTATTTGAGGGTTGAGTATCAAAACTCGTCTTATCCATTTTTGGTAATTTTGAGTAAATATAGTCTAGTATTGGCAGCCCTGCAATAATATTCAACATCATTTTTGTGGCATAACTCATTCTATCCTGTATAACTAATCTTATCCACGCGTATATTGGTAGCAAAACTTGTCATATCATGCATGTGACGATTTGCCCTATTATCTTCATTTTAATAGTGCTTTCTTTAGTCATTGATGCAATTTCAGGCAAAGCACGATATATTTTATAAACGTTTAGTGTTAAACGATATATTTTTCAATAGTTTTTTAAACAAAATGAACAATGAAACGGTCGTGTTACATGAAGGAAAGGGCAGGCGGAAAAATAGAAATAAAAGTTCCTGGAGTAAAGAAAAAGCCAAGGTTGAGAGGTATGTATAAGTTAATGTGTCTGAGATAATTAGAGGCCTTTTTAATATAACATTCATACCTAAATTTTTATAATAGTAACGGATTAATGATGAGTATTATATCGAATGTATTAGAACCGGTATATTTATTAGTGTTAAATTCATTTTTAAAGTGATATAATCATGAAATTAATAATAATTGATAAGAAATAGACTAGATCGAATCCTAATAACCAGAGAAAAGACTATTTTGTTCCAGAGTATTAGTATTTTGTGAAATCTTAACATTACTTTAACGGCTATTACTATTAGAAAATTTGGTCTTGATTGGTATACTTTTATATTTTTAGGAGAAAATCAAAAGGTCTACCAAAAAAACCAACATGCCAGCATAAAAAAAAAATTAAAATGCAACGAGATACCTATGCAGGATATAAGGCGCTTTCACCAATCCTTTTACTCTCATGAAGATAAAATTTCCCACGACAATTTCATATTAAAATACACTTCTCAAGTAGCACCAAAACGTAGACGCCCTAGCGCAAAGGGTGGTTCTCAAAAGGCAGTAACTATAACGTATCACATAAAAACCAGATGTCAAGGTGTAGTGCAGATTTGTGGCAATGCGTTTTTAGCTATTCTTGGAATATCTAAATTTAGAGTGCAAAATATTTGTAAGCAACATCACTTAACTGGACAAAGTGCCAAAGAAAATCGTGGGGGTGATACCAAGTCAGCAAAATATTTGGAAAGAAAGAATGAAGTTAGAAAATTTATCCAATCCCTAAAATGCGTCCAATCTCATTATACACGCGGGCAAAGTCTTAGGCAATACTTCCCTAGTGACTGTTCTGTTCGTAAATTATGGAACTCATATAACAACAAAATTGAGGCACACAATCAAGTAAAATATCATTTTTTTTGGGATATTTTTATGAATGATTTTAATATTAGTTTCAAGACACCAGCTACAGATGCTTGCTCCGAGTGTATAAGACTTAAATCAAACATTCAAATTCTTAAGGGCCAAGAAAAAGCTGGATCAATGGCAAAATACACTGTCCATAAAATGAAAGCAAAGGCATTTTATGAAATACTTAGGGAGGAAAATCCAGCAACTTTCAAATTTTCATTTGACTGCCAAAAAAATCTAATATTGCCAAAAGTCCCCGATCAAATTGCCTAATATTCTCGGCAATTATACCAATATAATATGACGATATGCGAAGGGCATTCAAAGAATGTACAAAATAAAGAAACCGTCAACATTTTCACTTGGTTAGAAAGTGAACGCCTGAAAGGGTCGAACGAAATATCCTCCATAGTCTTTCACTTCCTTTGCAGTAAAAATTTAGACAGTTATAAATCCATACAGATTTTTTCAGATGGTTGTCCAGGCCAAAACAAAAACATGACAATGGTTGGTATGTTGGCCAAATGGCTTAAAGAAAAGTCTCCTAAAAATATTCAGTCTCTAGAGTTCATATTTCCAATCGTAGGCCATTCTTATATACCGCCAGATAGAGTCTTCGGGAGATTAGAAAAAAGACCTTAAAAGGAAGGATACCATAATTGATCCCCATGAGTATATAAACATATTTTCTAAATACGGAAAAGTAAAAATACTTGGTAAAGACGTGCCTGTTTTTGATTTTAAAACATGTGTAGCTGAAAATATTAAAGCACCTGGTCAGTTACATTTCCAGTTTGCGCCAGCAAAAAGATTAAAATTGATAAAAGATAAAAACACTATTTTACTTAAAGGGGAAACAACATACAAAAGTGATTTAGGTGTCTTTAAACCATTCCTCAAAAAAGGAAAAAATTTCCATTTTAAGCCTGAATTGCTTCCACTGAAGGTCCCGGTAAAAAAGGAGAAACTAGAAGATGTCAATAAACTTCTCAAACAGCATTTTGGACCAAATTGGATGGAGCTTAGTGAATTGGACTTCTACAAGAACCTTCTATCCAGACCAGACAAAGACGAGATTCAAGAAGAAATGGAAGAAATTCAGGATATTCCAACAGAATTAAGTGATGAATTGACCGTATGATTTAACCAACTTTAATTTGTTTAAGATACTGTCTAATAATTTGTTAATAACACGTTTCTTTCAATAATAGTATGTTCAATAAAAACATTTACATTTAGAATTAACCCACTTTATTATTAAGAAAGTAGTTGATCCGGCATATATCTTATTTCCAAAACTCTCTTTATCCCGTCTTTTTGTTCCATAACTGACCTAATTCATTAATTTGCAACAAAAATGTTCTTATCCAATTTTATTTTTTTAGTAAAAAGTGCAATTATGCATAAATTTATTTTTCCTTTTGTAAAATATCTAAGTAATGCTTAAATTAGCAAATGACAAAGTATTGTTAATAAATATTGACTAATTAAGTTGCTGTTCGTTTTTTGCGATTATTGAAAATTAACGAATTTGGATAAAACTAGTTTTGGAACTCAGCCCCTCATATATTATTATATAATCCACTCGTTTCGCCTAAAATGTCTAAATTTTTTTATTGAAGCTGTAGATCAAATTTATAAACGATTCCCTTTCGTTTCACACGAAATCAAAATTCTTAAAGAACTTGTTTTTTTAAGTCCAAAAAATTTAAAAAATATAGAAACAATTGGACCATTAGCTTCACATTTTTCCGAAGAATGTATAGATATTAATTTATTAGATAGAGAATTTAGACAATTAAAAAACTCTGATATAAATGTTGAAATGGATGATATTACATTTTGGCAAAATGTGGCAAGTATTAAAAAAGGAGATGGAAACTTAGCATATCTGGAACTTATAAAAGTAAATTAGTAGTAAATTTTTTATTTACTTTGCCACATAGTAGTGCTTGTGTTGAAAGAAATTTTAGTGTTATAAACCTAAATAAAACAAAGCAAAGAAATAGGCTGTCTACTGATACACAAGCAGGTATTCTTAGATCCAAAAGTTTTATATCACAAAAAAACTGTTACGATTATGATATACCCAGCGAAAGGTTACAAAATCATAACAACAACATGTATCTTTAATCATACGTAATACTGCATGATCGAAAAAAAAATGGGGTCAAGTTGGCTTGGAAATGGCGATCGATGACATTCCCATATAATTTTATAAATATATATATTATATATAAAATTACAGCATTTCATAGCCATCGCTGACGCCGTTTTCTTTTTCATGGTAATTTGTCTGTAGTTAATAATGCTATTATTATTATTTTTGGTTTTAATTAAGTTCATTTTGTTATATAATTACGCCATGCACCAAAGAATATGTATTGTGTTGTTTCTTGTTTTAGTTTAGTAACGTTTAGTTTATATATGTATAGTTTAAGTATCTATTATGACTGTTCCCGTTCTATTGATTTATGATTTAAATGGTTAAAATAAAAATATGTTTATTTTAATATGTATTTCCGTATTTTCATCACACCAATCCCCCCCCCCCTTCGGCTGTCTGAAATTTATTTAAGTCTAGTGAAATTTTAGTGATTTTTTAAAACGCCATCTAGTGAATTCTTAAATTTTGACCAGGCAACACTGTCAGCGCTGGTTGTGTTGATGTTGTAGGGTTAATAATACGTAACTATTATAGTGCCTATATTATTTATCTGAGTTTTGTTAACCGTGGTGGAGTGGAGTGATGAACAAGTGCTTAAGTTCTTAGAGCTGTATGCCAGAAAGACATTATTATGGAATCCCTCGCATAACGACCACAAAAAAAAACAAAAGGTCCACGATGCCTGCAAAAAAATATGTGAATGCCTCGAAAATGTGGCAATTGAAGAATTGAAATAAAAAAAATCACTAATGGCAGCATTCCCGCTCCTATTAAAAAAGAAAAAAGCGTCAATAAGATCTGGAGCGGGTGAGCTGATGAGGTGTTTCAGCCCATTTGGTTCGCATTTGATATAATGGAAAGTTTTTTGGGAACACTATATGATGTAGAAGACACAATAAATACAGAAACCGAGGTAAGTAAATGAAAAATAAAAAATGTTCTTAATTACCTATTATTTTTCCTCTACAACCGCACAAGATATTCATGTTACTTGGGGTGCGAAATTATTGTTCAGATAGTTACTTAGGGAAACCACTAATGCATATTTTGTCAACTGCATGCCATCCACGGTTTCTGATTTTTTAAGTACAAATTACTTTCATATGCGAACATATTTTGATACGATTTGAAACGCTAGTAATTTATAATATGGTAATTCTGCTTCAAAATCAGTGTCCGGGAAAAATATTTTCCCGCGTGCATACTACGCGGGAAAATATTACTTTGCGTATGCTATAGTGTGCGCAAGGTATTTTCTTTGCGGTCAGTCGTAAAAAAAGGGATATTTTAGGATTATTAAGGATCTAAAAATAAGCAGCAAATTCAGATGTAATTCTAAGTTGGAAGTTGGCGCTCCTCTGGCTACAGGTTGTATAGTCCTTAAAGCAGATAAATCTGCATTATGTTGTCTCCAAGAACCTTCGATAAATACCCTGTTCTCAATGGTGTCAAAAGTTCCACGGGGGGTGTACAAATTTCGGGAATGTTGACTTCTTCTTAAGAAGTTATGTAATAAGAGACAGGTCAATGTTTTCAATGGTACCTTACTTACGTCGATTTCTAGCGGTCTTCTGAAGATTCTAAATACAGATGTTAACACACCGAAAGTATTTTCAACGATTACACGACTACTTGAAAACCTATAGTTTAATGTTCGTTCATTCGAGCCCATATCGTGATTTCCTGGAAAAGGTTTCATCACATTTCTATGTAAAGCAAAAGCCTCATTGGCATCGCCTAGAAACACATAAAGTACATTCTTTTCTCTTCCTGGTAGCGGGTAATCTGGTGGTAAATTAAGTGCATTTGTCAACTTTTGCCACAATAGGCAGTTTTGAAACATACCCCGATCACTGATACGCCCTTGGCCACCTATATCGGCAAAAATAAAGCAATAATCACTATCAACTAAAGCCATCAAAACTATACTATAGGTTCCATTTTAGTTATAATATTCGGAGCCACTATGTGCTGGACATTTTCTTACGATGTGCTTGCCATATATGGCTCCGACGCACCGGGGAATTTTTTTCTTGAATCCTTTTTCTATAGCCAACCATTGCTCGGGTGTTTGGGGTAACTAGAACAAAAAAATATATAATATAATAAAAATAAATAAATAAATATATCTTCAAGACAAAATAATCTAATGATAAAAGGCATAAATAAAAAAATTCATATAGAATTTTATTTTTTTCAGCCAGAACAGACTGATGAAGTTGCATCTTTGACACACGATATAGACGACGACGAAAAAAATGAAGGCGAAGAAAAGGATGAACAAAATATGACAAATAGGAAGACGGTAGATGAGAAGAAGAAAGAAACTCATGTTTTGAAGAAAAGGCGCACTGCTCAAGACTTTAACGTAGAAGTTGCATAAAAACATCTGAATGACAGTTTGACAACACTAAACCAGGTTTTGCAGAGTAAACAGGCTAAAGATGAAGATGACTGCGATCTGTACGGAGAACAATAGCAATTCGAAGCGCAGTAGCTGCATGTAAACGGTCACTTGCTTCTACAGCTGCCGTGGAATTATTGAGGGCAGGACAGCGGACAGCGCGAGTAGCAGCGGCAGTGGCTGCATGTAAAGGGGGTATAAGATCAGGCGCATGGAGCTAGATAACCGCCAAGAAACTTCTGGGAAAGTTAAACTTCGCAGTTTTTGTCATTCCCTTAGGGCGCCTTCACTCAAGAGCAATGCAGAGAGCGTGCCGTTGCACACTGGGGTAAACGTATTTAAAACATGGTCATAACTGATAAACTGAAGTTATAATTAAATGAACCCCAATTACACGAATCAAAAGCTAAGTCATGTCATTTTATAATCTAGTTACCTTTGGTAGCATTTGTTTTGTTTTTCACCTGCCACGGTAACATAAAGTTGCTTCATTTTATATCAGAATAGATTCTGTCATAATCAACAATAAATTTTGTGTTTCTTGTGGTCGTAATTATTTTGTTAATTAAATAATTATATTTGTGATTTAGCAAGGATATTTAAAATATATAATACATTTTTAAAATACATACATACAGCCGTTACTCGCTGACGAGTATTCGACACACATAAAGAAGATGGTCACGCAAGGCGTTTTCTTTCATGAGCTTTTCTGTAACTGAAAAGCCCGATACGTGATGTTATGTACCTACCGCACTCCGGACATTCAAAAATCTCATTGCTTTGCTGCCTCTTTACATTTTGGTTGCCGCTGTTAACTGAATTTACAACCCTTCTCCATTGAGTTCTATTGTGAGCTGCTTTTTCCCACTCATTCTGCATGTTAATTCCCTTTAAATTTTCGTGGAAAATGTCCTTGTAGCTTTTCAGTTGTCCACCCGGCCTCCTCTTACCGTCTACAAGCTCACCGTAAAGCAGAGATTTGGTATGCGGTTTTCTTGCATTCTGCGTACGTGACAAGCCCATCTTAAGCGGGATTTTGTGACCATGATTTCAATACTCTCGCAGTTAGCATTTTCAAGGACCGATACGTTTGGAACCACCGGACACTTAAGAGTTGTCTAAGGTGTCTCCGTTGCAACTTGTTTAATGCGTTCATGTGTCGGCGGTAAGGCACCCAGGTTTCGCTCCCATATAACATGGTGGGGATTATAATTGCTCGATATACTGCAAATTTTGTTTTTGTACTCAAGTCATGGTTGTAGAAAACCCTGTCTTTTAATTTCCAGAATGCTCTTGAGGCGTTACTAATCCTGTGTTGAATTTCAGAGTCAATATTGGCCTTTTCCGAAATCAAACTGCCAAGGTAATTGAATTCCGCCACATATTCCTATAATTCTTCTCAGATTTTTATAGCATTGTTGTGATCTTCCGGGGAAGTGCACATGATTTTAGTTTTGTCGATGTTTAGCTTAAGGCGGTGGGAGGTGGGTTCAAATTGTACCTATATAAAACACAAAATTTTAGTAAAATGTAATCACACAATAAAACACAGATTAACAAGACAGACGTTTATTCAGATGTAGGGTAGCTCATCATTTGAA